AGGAAGTATATTATAATATATTATATATATATATATATATATACATATATATATATATAAAATGTTTCAAAATCATGCATCCACTTTTTTCTAAAAATCACTAAGCAAAAATTATGACAACCAGCCCTGGTCTCCCCTATAACTTCCTCAAATATAGGTCATACTTTTTTCACTTTCCTTTTGCTCAACCAGTTATAGATCGCAAAATCGCGATAGACAATGTTACACCATCGTAAAAGTACGATGATATCAGTTGATCGCGTTAACGGAACAAATCTTTTGAAGATAATCCATGGGAAGAGACAGAACGGTAAAAGGACACGTGCGACAGAGTCGGTCATTCGCAATAACGCGAACTCGTTCCCCTACATTACTCAAACATGATGGATAGCTCTTGCGGCGATGAGGTGTGAGGCCACACACGGGGTTTGTCGTAGACGGGGGGTTATCGGCACGCCGGCTTGTCAGGGATGACGTATCGCTCCGAAGGTATACACCATATCTCGGAGCCCGTCTAGCCCATCCTGCACCACCTTCATCCAACGCGTACCACCTGGAAACCAGCTAGCTATGGCTAACTCCGCACTCAACATAGCGGACACTTGCGCGTGATAGGTATTTATCACTGCAGTCGCGGCGTAAGACGAGTAAATCAATTCATCGCGGAATCACTATCGACTGTATCAGTCGATAAAAAAAAATAAAGAAAAAAGACAAATGTCCGTGCAATGTCGCAACACGATGCATATCACATAATCCCCTGTAATAGGGGATTCATTCACGGATGGTAGAATGATAAAGACGATTTCTCGATGATGCCTAAATATATACACCATGAACCGCAGGAATACAGAAACTTCCGCGAATAAATAAAAGTGTTATAATGGAGATGTATTCGCAGTATCATGGCATGCGGCAGTAAAGTGAGCGCGCGTGACGTAGCATCGAATCTCCGGTGCGACTTTCGTTTCCGGAAAAAAAAGATACGCGATTGGTGGAGTCTCCCCTTTTATTGGGCGTAATGCGAGGCTGGTGAGGCTCGTAATATACATCCTACCGCAATTCTCGATACTCCATTAAGATTTCAGCTGAATCATAATGACTGCGACGACTCCGCGCCTCAACGAGATGAAAAGGAAAGCGGGAGAAACTTGCGGATTTCAATCTCCAGCATGACGACCTCTATCTATTCCCTCAACGTGACAACACGCTGGCGCCATCCATCATACGCTTCTATTCTTCCACGAGCAAATAATTCCTACCATTCCTCCTCCCTCTCTATGACAGACTCCGGACACATCCTGGACGCATAATGCTCGAGGTCAATCCAGCTCTCGAGTGCGCATAAACGCGCAATTACGGGCTACGCGGATTAGCATGACAGTGGAAATCATCGCGTCATCCGGGGGAGCGTATTAGATGATTACATTATCGTTGCACAGTGCGCCATGAAGCGTCCTGGATTAATAGCGACGCCTTCGATCATACCAAGATGACATTTGCCTTCGATTTGAATTATGAGAAAACCTACGTTAATGTTCGTGGAGAATATATATCTTAGATTAAGAATATATTACAAGTTAAAGTGGTTACATTACACTTGATAAATTTAAGAAAATAGAAATATTTTATGAAGGTGTTTTAAAAATTTTGATAGGATAGACTTTCAAAAAATATCTTGAATCGAAAAATAATTTTTACGTTGTTATTTTCGTAGATAGATATCGGATTTGTATAGATATCGTTTTCTTTTATGTTAATTAAATTAAATTATTAATTACATGGTAATTCTTTGTGTATATCAATTGATAATATGCATTATTTATACTTCTACACAGAGAAAATGATTTATTTGAATCAAAATATCTTATTTACGTTTATTTCAGTGAAACAATTTAATTCTGAATGAAAATTATTTCGTTTAATCCCAAAAATTTAGTCTGATTGCAATCAATTACATATCTTAATTTAAAGAAATCGATTTGGTTGGACTATTTCCATGACTACATTTATTAAACTTAATCTGTGTACTAAATAATTCTTTACAAATAAATAAAAAAGCGTTCATTGATATTTTGATTGCGCATTACATTACATTATAATTACACTAATTACTAATATCTTCGATTGTCACCAGTGTATCATGAATTTTTTTGCTTGAAACCTTTAGTTTAAGTAGATGAGAAATAATAAACACAAATCATTTGCGACGAAAGACGATCACAAAATGAACCATGTTACATCATTCTCTGATTAACAGTCGGCGCAATCGTCGTTTTCATCGTCGAATGCCGAATGAATTAGGATTTTCAGTCAGTTTGTACGAGCGGCGGGCGTGACGAATTTCTCAATTCCGCCGCGCGCGGAATCGCGAGTCACGTTAATGAGACGGAAGTAATCCCCCCTTCGGGGTATTCATTCGTACTAGTTGAAAGCCCTCCTGGGTCGGTCATAGTTCCGGCATAGAAATGGATTTCGCCGCAAAATTCCAGTCGTGCACTCTAATCCACGTAGTTTCCTCCGATATTCACATGAAGAAAGAACTCCCGTCGTACCTTCCGAAAATTCTCCTTTACGTGTTATAAACTTCTTAGTGCTCCCTCCCTCTTTCTACTATATGGATTTTTCTCAACAAAATTCGTCTATATACATTGCAATAATTATAATTAAATATAGATAAATAATGTTTGTAGCACTTTTTTAAAATTATTACTGAACGTTATTGCTCTTCATGTCTTATCAACGTATTTTACGATTATATTTACACACCGGTGATAGCGTCGCGCACGACAATTTATCAAATATCCTTTAGTAACGGGCAGGCTTTTGTCGCCGTTCTGATAATCACGGCTCGTTATATCGAAGAATGACTGGGCACTTTGATACACAAAAAAATGTCCTCTGTTACTCATATAGAATATCGGATTTCATCTGTGTCGCCTCGCATTAACGAGCGTCTATCATCGCGAATATCTCCGTAACGATCAGTTCTGCTCTGATGGGTTAGACGCTTGTTAACACTTCGTTTGATCCTACAACTGACGACGTCTCATCGTTGCATCGCGTGATAAACTCCAGCGCGACTCATTCCAGCAGCGATACTATATTACAATATCACGATGCTGTTTTTTCGAATTGTAGCTAGTACTAGGTCCGTCATTCACGCTGACTATATTTTCGCTAACAGGCGCATAAATAAAAAAATCGATACTTTCTTTCGTTCACGCATCTCTCTTGTTTCGTCGCGTCCTCTCGTCGTCTCGTCGTCTCGTCTCTCGTCATCTCGTCCGCGCTCGAGACTCCTCTCCTTCGCGTTCTGTTTCGCGCCCAATTTGCGGCCCATCATCGCTACGGAAGAAGCAATTTCTAACTTAAATGAAACTCCCTCTTGCTCGCGTTCGCCTACCCCTCGATCGACAGGAGACGCTGGTCTTGCGTTTCAGCAAGTAGGGTAGCGCGAATAGAGTGCGAGGGAAGGATGCCCTGGAAGACTCTTCTCTATCGCAACGAACGTGCAATGGCTACCCCCGTAACTACCAATTGCTCTGAGATCGCTTACACGCAACTCCCAATGTTCTTGACAAGATTATGACGTGGGTTACGAACACGCTATAACTGTATGCAATTTGGTGCACCCTTATGTTGAAAATATCTACGTGTGATCGAATATTATAAATCTTTTAAACTTGCCTCGTTGAAAATAAAATTTAGCACAGTAATAATATAATATATAAATACTTTAAAATCGCAAAAGCTAAATTTAATACCAATAATAATCTATAATATCTATAATAAAGAATGTAAAAAATACAATAAATTGATAAATTCTTCGCGTTGCAGAATAAATTTAAAATTATGTTTAAACAGTCCCATAATATAAAATTCCAAATATCTAATCATTGATTTTCGAGATCTTTGTGTGTTATTTCCAATAGAGAAACACATGTATAGTCGACAGTATTAACACGATGCGTTATGCACGATGGATTATCCAGTGTTCACTGAAGTACATTGTCCCGAAGTATCACTAAACCGCTTACCGGTTAGATATTACATCCCTGCCAAGATCATCGCGCAAACTTGCGGGAAACTGCAGCTGCAGCTACTTCACCTCGCGTCAAATCATTGCAGCGGGTGATCGTGCGGGACGAGAGCGCCACATTCCGAACTTTTCTTTTCCCGATCACAGATACTTACCACAAGGAGCTAGTTAACAGTTTGTTACGTTCCTGTCACTATCACGATGTAAAACCGGAACTCCTACTAACTAGCTTCTTGCGGCACCGCTATCGCGATTATCGTTTGTCGTCCATTCAGCGTATCTATTACATACATCGCCATAAGCAATCCAGATCGATCGCGGAACTTGTTTTACGCTGTTCAGAATAACGTCTGCGAATGTAAAGTTCTCAGCGTGCAATTAACGATGAACGATTACGATTATTTGCTCCTCCTTGTACGATGACAGTAATAATTAGCATATTGTCTTTTAGATATAGTCTTTCTCTTGTTTTGTGTTGTTTCAAGTGTTACTTTACTCTTAACTGACAGATTTATGGAACAGTCTAGAATCTACCTGTTGAAAGTGGTGGTAACCGGCTGTTCCATGCTTATACGGTCTCAACTTTGAAATTTTTTTAAACTTTTTCCTGATACGGATGCTGATAACTGCATCGGCTTGCTCGGAAGGTAGTAATAAAGTGGGGCTGACAAAGAAGGTTGCGCGCTATCGCGTGGCTGGAAGTTGGCTCGAGATTGCCTGGCAGCCTCTCGATATGGCCTGAGTAGAAGCGCGGCGAACTTCGATAATCTTCTCTGCAGCGAGCGGCCCAGGGCCCAAGTTTGGCAATCAATGCGAAGTAACAGTTTAATTAAATACGGGTAACCCTTCACCGACTCTGCGCGAGCGTGCGCGCTTACCCGAAGAAGACAGACTAATCTCGGCCGCGTCGTCTCAAGGGCTCCAGCTGGATTCAACAAACGTGAACGTTCGACGGACTCGCAAATCCGATCGTCGTTATTCGCGTCCCGTTCCTCGCGTTTCCTCCTCAGTCCCCTTCATCCTTTGCTCCTTAGATCGCGACACGTCAAACTTTGCGGTTGGCAAACAGCAATCGTACGAATACGATTTCAACCGAGATCGAGCTTGAAGTCGGTTCGAAAGGCCCCGCTTCTCCAAGTACCAGAAGTTGCGCTGAGTCTGCAGATTGTCGTAGATCTGGGTTACCGATAAGGTAAAATAAACACGATCCTAACTTATCAGGTTCAATACGGTACATAGGGCGTAAAGTCGAGAGAATGGAGTCTTTTGTTTTATCGATTATATTTCTTGTAGGCGACTTTATATAGAAAGTTTATATAAGGAGTTCGCATCGAGTTACGAAAATAGCTTCAAGATAGAAGTTACAATTTACTTTTAGATCTTTTTGACACTGAATTATTCTGCTCGTCGTACTAATTTGCGTTTTGAAAAAGAAATATGTGATAAAATCAGTATGTAAACCACTATATTGTAAGATATCGTAAAGCAGTATTTCTTTGCAGAAAATTCAACGCAGATTTACATAATTACATACTATTTTACAAACAAAATAAATTTGCTCACAAGCATTTATGAACTGCATTATAAATTAAGCGAGGATTCACACTGTTAAATATCAAAGGAATGGTAATCCTTTGAGTTCAATAACATTTTTTTATGTTTTTATTTTCCAAGTGTTAAAACGTAAATTATTTCTGAGTTAGTTTCAAAATAAACAACATCCATACCAATGTATGTACTTAATAAATAAAAAATTTGAGTGAAAAATACTTTTTTCTTCAGTTAAATTGTTTAATTCCATTGTTTTTAGTGAAATTAACGATCTATAGAAATAATTAAAAATAAAATTTCTCAAATTGTGAATATAATTTGAACTTAGGAATTTAATAGTGCACGTAAAGAAGAAAGTAGATATTACATACCAACGCAACGCAATGT